TAGAGAACGAAAAAGAGAGAGAAAGAATAAGTTAACGTCAATAATAATAATAATAATAAAAAGACACAGTTGTAATTTCAAATTATTGTATCGAGTAGAAGGATTAGGAAAACAAGAAAGATAACAAAAATATATAATATACCAAAAAAAAAAGAATAATCTTAGAGAAAGAAAAAGAAAGAGAGAGAAAAAATAAGTTAACATTAATAATAATAATGACAATATTAAAAAAAAAGGACATAATTGTAAATTCAAATTATTGTATTGAATAGAAGGATTAGGAAAAAAAAAAAATAAGAAAAATGTATAACATACTAAATAATAAAAAAAAGAATAATGTTAGAAAGAGAGAGAAAAGAAGTTAAACGTTAATAAAAATAAAAAAAATAAACAAAAAAAAGGAAAATAAAACGACGTGCCCAAAAACTTCCTTCTCGATTTCGACGAAGCATAACGGAGAAAGTTTAGTTAGTTGCAAGTATAATATTATAACGACGACTGTAAAGTTTGCTTTCACGGTTTCTCGATACAGGAAAAAGGTAAATTATGAGAATAAGAATAAAAAAAAAAGAAGTGATATTAAAAAAAAAAAAGTATAGGCGTAATAACGAGATTCTCGTGTGCTGCATTGAATGATCTTTCGTTTTTTATTTTTTGTTTTGTTTTTTTTTTTCTTATTAACAATTTCGATTCCGATAAATATCTCGCGTGTCTAATCAAACGTGTTTTCAATCAAAGCAGCAGCAGCACACTGTTCATGGATGAATAATTTTAATACGAATTAATTGTAAGCCGGTTATCGCAAATTTTCTGTTCATTCGAATTTCGATCAAGGATAGTGTACCACGTTTTCGATTATTTTATAATATATTATTGTTTATATATTGTAGATATTATTATATGTATGATAGTTTATTATAATTGTGAAAATTATTGATAGAATAAAATAATAACAATTGAGATTGTTTTAATTTTGTTTATGAGATAGTAATATTTTTTGTTTATTGTGATATTTTAGTTTAATTGTAGAAATAGAAAAAGGGTTATGAGTAATATTATTTTTTTTATATGTTAAAATGTTGTTAATAATATTACTAAGTTTAATCTTAGGGAAGTTGTTTTTTTGGACTGGTTTAATTAAGATGAACACTATATTTATCCGTTGAACGTTTCGTCTCTATTTGAGACTTCCTCAGCAACTAAAATTATTTATTATGACATATTATTT